CCCCAAAACCCCAAAACCCCAAAACCCCAAAACCCCAAAACCCCAAAACCCCGTATTTACCATTCTGATTGAAAGCGATCACCCATCAGACTTTTATCAAATTAAGGTGATATTTCTGACAGAATTCTGATGAGTCGCTTTAGGCAAATCACCCACTAAAATTCCCTTCTCCAAGTGTATTTAAAGCTTTATTAGGTGTTAAAAAGTTAATGGCTGCTATAATCCAGAAATAATGTATTCATGGGACTGGGATTGTTTACAGCACTAATTTCCAAATTGTGTCAGAAAATTAGGCATTCTGCTTCACAAATTTGCCTCCGACCCTCTTCTTGTTCTTGGCGATAGTCCGTCTCTTATAGTACAAGTTCTTGTTCTTGTGTTCTCCACGTATCCATTTCTGGATCTTAGCCTTGTAACGAAGGATTTTGGCCATCCTGACCTTCTGGCTGTAAATTCCTACTCTAGGCTTATTCAGATGAGAAAACTGAGAACAATTAGCAGGAGAAAAATCTATTTCTGAAGGGTTCGTTCCGATCTCAAAGAGGTAGGTTTTGGAGGAAGTTTCGCAACCCTCAAGTTCGGCTGAATACTTCCTATTTCCTGATGTAACTCTCATACATTGCTTCTCGTGTCTTGGCTTTTCAGAAGGGGCTTTAAGGCTCGACATGAATTCAGCCATAATTTCTTCCTTGGATTCATTAGCTTGAATAACATCAGAACTTTGAGGATTAAACGAAGGAGTGGCTTTTAACTGTGGTATTTCTTCTTCCTGGGATGAAATGGTGCTAAACTGCTCATCTTGGTTTTTGAATTGTTCTGACTCCACTATTTCTGGGCGGTTAACGTCCTTCAAAGAAATCTCAAATTTAAATAAATCCTGCTCTTTATGTTGAGATTCTGGTGTTGAAATTCTGGTAAAAGCACTTGGACGAGAGGCATGTCCAATTGGCAAATAAATAGTATTGTTGCAAACTTGCCCTCTAAGGTCTCTGTAACAAATTTTGAAGTCTTCCATGGATTGGGTATTTTATATGAAAATAATTATGTTATTTTAATTCGAAATTTTAATAAGGCTTTCTTGCCCACTCTTTTACAGATTCAGCATTAGTTATAACTTTTGGGGTTTTGGGGTTTTGGGGTTTTGGGGTTTTGGGGTTTTGGGGTTTTGGGGTTTTGGGG